CCTCTCCCGACACGCGCCCCTGAGGCAGAGCAGCAGCAAAACAAACGAGGGACGCTGGATGGAGACCGCTGGATGAGGCGGACAGCCTCTCTGGCACCACGACAAACGGATGCTCTGGTTCTCGGGGGACGACGACGGCCATCTGGAGACAACCCAACACTGGTTTGTTTGTTAGCGCGAGACATTCGAGATATCCACCAAGGCCGTCTGCCTTTTTGTAAAGGCCCTGAAGTTGGAACCGGATGCCTTTTGCTATCCAAAAGAAGCCCAAAGGCCAAACCGGATGCCTGTATTTCTACCGGCCAGGTCTTGAAATCGGAAATGGGTGCCTTGTATTTGTCCGACCAGGTCCTAGAGGAAGAGCAGGATTCCTATTTCCCCACCGACCACATCCTGAAGTCAAAACTCGAGAAGTCTGGTCGTGCCATTCAGATATTCCTTCCTTGGCAAGCAGAACTAACAAACAACCCAGAGGTGGAGTGTGCAAGGCGCCCGAGGGAAGATGCAGCGGCCGTCATCGTCGCAGAGTGTCTCGTGTGTGCAACCGCCGGTTAGGCACGTCGGGCTGGCGGGCAGGCTGGTGGTGGGACGATAGCGTGTCGACGTTGCTGGACAAACGGACCTCTCCTGGGGGATGAGGGGGACGGGGACGAATCATGAGGGCGGGGGAGGGCGGGATTGGAGAGGATAGGTGCAGTTTGAGGCCTACAATATTTGGAGGGGCTGTGTTGACTTTGAGATGGCCTTGGGAGAGAAGGCGGTGGAAGGGGGACTTGGACGGGCCTCAGGGGTTTTGCTGTCATTGTTTGATGGCTGGGTGAGTATATATGGCCTCGAGTGTCCTCGTCTTGGGGTGTCCTTGAGAGATGCAGACGCCTGACGCAGAGAGCCCCCGACATTGCGACGAGTTCAGCACCCCAAGCAAGTCACCATGTTCGAGTTCATTTTGGTTTTCGCTGGGATCTTTGTGGAGGTCTTTCCCTTTGGGAAGATCATGCTCTTCTATGGCGTGGCCCTCGCCTTCCTCCTCGGGATCGTGTGTCTCATCGCCGGCATCCTCATCTCCACCGCGCCGCTCAGCATTGTCCTACTGGCCGGGGTTTGCCTGAACCGGTACTTCGACAATGTGTTTGCCGACTGGGCCCCTTGGGCTGGACCTGCCATCGATCCAGCATCCGACGAATTCAGACTCCTATTCGACCGCAACTTCGTCACAGGCTGGCTCAACACCCAGCGCGCCATCGTCGACTTCAGTTTCTTCTCCTCCCCCGACGCTCCTCTTCCAGACCTCTCAACCCGCCTCGAGCTTCGCGCACAAGCCAACGCCCGCCTCGTCCGGGCCTTTGGAATCACCAACTCCCTCACCACCTCCTCCATCGACACCAACCAGCAGTTCCACGACAAAGCCACTCGGCTGATCAACCAGGCGAGTCAGGACCCCGACAGGTGGACCAGACTGTACAGCCTGGCCGAGGGGTTGCTGAAGCAGGACGTCGTGCACACCCGACTCGCTGCGAAACCGCTGGGCTTGGCCGACTGTGTGCGGAGGATGTGCCTGGCGGTTGTCCTGGTGGATAACTTTGGGGACGAGGGGATCGTGCATGAGAAGGGCGGCCTGCTGGGGGAGATTGCGGCGAGGGTGAATGAGGTGTGGGTGAAGAGCAAGTGTGATGTTGGCGGGGAGGGAGGAAGGGATGAGGGTCTTGAGGAGATGATAGGGGGCCTGGGGCTGAGAGATAACAAGGGGCAGGGGGAGTTGTTGAGGGTAGAGGAGATACTGGGGATCATCATGCCCCAGTATGAGACGCTGTGGCGGGTCGTGCTGCTGACCTTTGTCACGGCCTTTCATCGGCAGGCCCGGAAGGAGAACGCAGAGAGGGTAAAGGGCGTGCCCGGGTGTCTTGGGAAGAAGGGGACTGAAGAAGAAGCCTTGAAGGTGGCACAGGTAAGCGCTGCCTTTGAAGAGGAAGAGTTTGAGCTGACTTGTGGAACAGGAGGGACTGCGTCTGTACCCGTCCAACAAGCGAATCTACCGCGCCCGTGGTATCGGGATGGAAGGTCAAGTCTCGGCCGACGTCGAGGCTTGCCACAGGAATGTGGTCATATGGGGATTTGACGCACTTCAGTTTCGGCCCGAGAGATTCGATCGTCTGTCGGACTTGCAGAGCAAGGCCTATTTCCCGTACTCGATGGGCAAGCACAAGTGCCCTGCCTACAGGGTGTTTGGGAACCGCATGATCACCATGCTGGTGGTTGTGCTGAGCAGGGTCATGTCGCCCGAGACTGGCAGGGTGAGGTTCAGGGACGACAAGTTGGATCATGGTGGTGCTGACGCGGCGTTGCCGACGGGGAGGGACGAGTTGGAGGCGTGGGTTTTTGACATTGTTTGAGCGAGGGCCTGATTCATCGTGCTGTCGTGTCGGTGATAGTTTTGGAGGAGTTCACGTTGCGGGGGTTGTGTTGTCGGGTGGTTTCCTTTGATGTTGGTCGTACAGATAGAGGTGCATTCCGGTAGATTTCATGGCCGAGGCGGCCTTTTCACTGTGACGAGAAGAGGCGATTGATGAAATGATGCGTGGTAAAGTGAGCGTCCGGATGTTGATATCAGGGGCTCATATAATATGTAGGTATCTTGGTGGCAGCGGATGAGCGCGCTACTTTTTGGAGATGAAAAGAGTAAGTTGGTGGTGAGTTGATGAGATGATGACAAGATGAAGGGACCTGGGATGCGGGAGGATTGCAAACAGTTCTTCCATGGGGGCGAACCGCCCTGTAAACCACTGGCACATGCTTTGGCCCCCGAATCTTCAAATGGCTGCCTAATGTCGGGCGCTGAATTGCCTGTCTCGGAGGCGGGCCGGCGCCAACCACAGCGTCTCACTCACAGTGACACTTTCCGATGGCTGCCACCTTCCTGGCTAGTGCGACCACGATCCAAGACATGGTGCGACTTCCCCGCGTCAGCTTCTCCGCCTCACCAGCTCAAACCCAACACCAACCGACCTCTTTGCTGTTGCTGATGGTTGAACCATTTTGTCTGGCTTCTTCTTGAGTAAATGCCCTGCGGAGGTATTACTGACATCGCAGAGATGGCGCTACAGGCGTGGATTGCCGGTATCGTAAGCGTCAATCTTCAGCAGTCGTGACAGCGCTGACAGGACATTCCAGATCGTGTCGGCCATTGTCGCGTTCAAGTTCATCTCTTTCCGACGCCATCCCCTGAAGCAGTTTCCTGGCCCTCTCTTCTGCGCCCTCAGCAATGCAGGTCTTCTGAACCGCAAGTACTAGCCACCAAGCTGACCCTTCCAGATACCCTATTCTTATCACGGCATTGTTGGAGATCAGCCAAGCTGGATCGAATCGCTCCACGCAAAATACGGCAAGTCTATATCCAACTTCCCAGGTTCAAGAATTCACCCTGACCAAATATGCTTGCAGGGACCACCGTGCGGATTGCCCCCAACGAGCTGTCTTTTACCACCCCCAGCTCGTGGAAAGATATACACGGCTTCCGAAAAGGCCACGGCATCTTCGTCAAGAGCCAAGCCTACGATGCCGCCGCTTTTGCCAGCCAGACACGCTCAGTCGTCAATGAGAGGGATCCCGCCGAGCATGCCAGGATGCGCAAGATGCTGTCACCGGGTTTCTCGGACAGATCCCTTCGTGACCAGTGGCCCATCATCAACGATCTCGTCGACGGCCTTGTCGACGAGCTTACAAAACGAGCAGCTTCCGGCAACACCGTTGACATGACCAAGGTTCTCAGCGCCATCACTTTTGACATCTCAACCAGTCTTGGCTTTGGCCGCTCGTTTGGTGCTGTGCACTCTGAAAAGGAACACCCATGGATGGTATTTATTGGGAACGGAGCGCGGGCAATGGGCGAAGCCGCGGCCATCCAACGGTTCCCTTGGATCCAGAAGCTCATACTTGCCCTTAAACCGCCCCAGATGATCAAGATGATCAAGGAGCTGGAGATGCACGAGGCCATGTGCACCGAGATGGTCAAGAAGTACGCTCACCTACATGATATGTTTCAGGACCTGCTGACACATTGACAGAAGGCAAGACGAGCCGAGTGACCGACCGGACATTCTGGGATTGATTCTGGAGGCCAGCCACAAGGCAGAGGAAGAGTTCCCAACGCCCTTCATCGCAGCCCAGTTGTCCGATGTCGTCATTGCCGGTGCCGAGACGACAGGCACGGCACTCGCTACCGCCACCCATTATGTGATGCGTGATCGTGTAGTGCTGGAGAGACTGCGCGGCGAGATACGCGAGAGGTTCAGCCGCGTTGAAGACATCACGCCCGAAACGACCGCCAACTTGCCGTATGTCAACGCTGTTTTGAACGAGGCCCTGAGGGTCCTGCCGCCAGTACCATGGGTGGCCTCGAGGCTTGTGCCTCTGGGAGGCGACACGGTGGACGGGCACTTTCTTCCTACCGGCGTAAGTTTAGCTCCCGACTGTTTTACTCCGGCGCTGACTGTGGAACTGGCAGACCTTGGTATCAACAAACACTTTCGCTGCCTCTCGCTCCCCCCTGAACTTTGAGTATCCGGCCGAGTTCCGACCCGAACGGTGGATTTCCAACCCACACGACGATAAACTAGGAGGCGCCCAACCTTTTGGCCTGGGCACTCGGGGTTGTATTGGAAAGTCGTGAGTAAACCTCTCGCTTTCGTGGGACGTTCAACTGACAGGGTTTGATAGCCTGGCCCTCACCGAGATGCGCTTGATCATGGCCAAGGTGCATTTTCTGTTTGACGTGGAGGCGGTCAACCCCGATCTCGACTGGATCGACAAGACCGTCTTCAGATTGCTGTGGGCGAAGCCCCCTCTGATGGCGCGGTTGACCCTTGCCCACCATGAATAACCTTTTTGAATCAATCCTACCACGTGCGTTGGCTACCTCTCCACCTGGACGAAAGTTGGGTGTGGGTCGCTGTCATGCACATCATGACAAGCGATACCCACATGTTTGTTCCATCAAATACCATGGGATTATAGTATAGTGGTCAGTACCTCTCGTTGTGGAACTTGTTCTTACATTACCGAGAAAACGCAAGTTCGATTCTTGCTAATCCCAAACAAGGACCCCAATGTCTTGATCGTCTTGATCATTTTTGCTCACTCTGAGTCTCGTTTCCTTGCCCGAAAGAGTGTGATGAATTTTGCGCCGAGCGTTCGTTGTTCGAGTTTTTTTGCCTTGCCAAACTCGTGGGCTGCGGCCCCACAAGGGTCTTGGCGTCTGTTTATCCAGCCCCTGGACCCCTTTTCGCCGTCGCCCATAGACAAAACCATCGAACATATACCACCATCTCCATGAACCAAACGGCCAAGCACGTTGAATCTTGCCTGCTGTCAATGGACAAATAGGTAGGTACACAGTTCCTTGAAGCAGGAAGTCAGAAGCCCTAACCCTCTGTACACTCAAGCTTCAAACTCCGACCATTATTTACGTGCGGCAAACATCTTACGTCCGTTACCCTGCGATAGCAATCACCCAGTGCCACATGGGCAGAGAACTAGGGTAGTGCAAGGGACCCTATCCAAAAGAGAAGGAAGTCTGCTGCCGTTCTTGTCTACGAAAAGACTGGTATCAGGGACGTCAGGGTTCACGTATGTTCGCGTTCCCCTCTTGGTGTGAACGTTGTGTGTTTGCGGCATAACCAAAGGATGCATGACCGGATGTAGAAAAAGTGAAGCCGTCACCAGAGACGATCACGATTGGCATATAAAAAGGTAGGACCATCGCCTCTGCCATTCCCCCTAACCAAACCCCTCAAGTCTCCATACGCAGATTCAATCATCATGCATTTTCTGAAGCTCCTCTCCCTTCTTGTCACCGCCGCACTGGCCTCCGCAGTGGTCATCGTTCCCGCGGCCCCTAGCGCCGCAGCTCACGACCTTGAGCTCACCAACCCCATCGGCCACATCGCCAAGCGGGCCGACTCTTCCATCTCTCTCGGAGACCCCCAAAGCCTGCTTCTCTTCACAATGTCAAACAGCAATTGCCTCTTAAGCGCCGATCCCCAGGCCTGGTCCCTGTCCTCGGAGAGCGGATGCATCCGCATGAACATTCCCAACCGTTTTTCGGTCTATTGGATGCGGGGACCAAAGCACGATGGCGTTGAGTCAGTTGTCCCCTCCATGTCATACGGGAATTTACATGGACTTTGATGGTAGGCTAACTCGTCGACTCGATACAGTGGCCACCCTCCACCCTGCAAAGTGACGGTTTGGAGCGGGGTTGATTGTCGGGGGGTGAGTCGGGAGATTCACTATGATATTTGCAGTGGGCCGGTGAAGTATGGGTCTATTAGCTGGGACTGTTAGAATTGCCAGGCAAGGATCTTGCGGACTGAAAGAGAAAAGAGGGAGGCATGTCAGACCCGGGTATCAGGTTGGGGGTTCCACTCCAAAAATAGACCCATGACGATGACATCTGCACCAGTGCTTTGCAAACATGATGAGCAAACCTTACAGTCCCATCTCGAGGTGTTGGTGCAAACAATGACTTCTTCGACTTGACAGCACTTGAGACTTTGCGTTGTGCAACCGTCAAAAGTCAACAAAGGGGGCAAGATGGGTTCAAATGAAGTGACCAACTCACCTGAGTTGGAATCGGTCATGAAAAAGAGTCTCAAGCTACGAACTGCTGGTGAACATGGGCATACTGTGACCAGATGTTGAGCATGTCCTAGATTGCGACCCTGGTAATTTAATATAAAGTCATCCCCAAGTATAGTACCCCCTGGAGTCCATTCCCTCACCAAAACACTAGGTACCTAGTATAACAAGCCCAGAAGCCAAGTTAACAAGATGATGTTCCAAACCCTCGGCCGTGCCATCGCCCTCATCGCGATCTCCACCCTAGGGGTCTCGCCGGTTGCAAAGGGATCCGAACTACCTCCAATCGACATTGTCACCAAGACTGCTCCAGGCCCTGAGGTCAAATTTGGACAGTTCTTTGCCTACGAGTACGGTTTCTGCCGCTTGTCGGCTGGATGGGAGGTGTACGAGCCCAAGAAGGAAACGGGGTGCGTGGCTGTGAAGAACAAGCAGTCGCTGGGCTATATGAGGGGCGGTGGAGATTAGTGAGTACCTACTTCTCAGAGACAGACGTCGGTGAAACATTGCTGACGACGTTGTGTGCAGTAATTGCGAGATTAGCACATGGAGTGGCATCGACTGCAAGGGCAAGAGTAAACCCTGGAAGCCCGTGGATGAGGACATCACCTGTTTTGCAAAGACACCATATGCGTCCTTCCACTGGAATTGCACAGCGTACTAGTAGTGGACCAGCCTTTTTGTCGGCCTTGGGTCGTTGCCGGAGGTGCTCAATCATCTACGAGGAGAATATTGGAGTGTCGCTTTGAAGCACTGGAGAGGTGCCACGGGAACTGGAGGGCATGTCTTAGCTCACTCTAGCCTGCTAAATAAACCCCGGGATATCTATGTCCTTGCCTGTGTACTATTAGCTAGTTCCCAGGCGTCAGCCCTTCAACTTGACCATCGACTGTCCCTGTAACCATGCCCCGTCCTCAACTGGAAAGGCCGTCAGCTCAAACCCCAAGACATCATGCAACCATCCAGGCCTCTAACATCCCACGTCCTATGCCTGATCGTTGTGGCTGCCTGACTCAGGCGCCTTCATTTTGGCCAATTCCTCCATTTCCCTCGCTGCTATCACTCCACGGTCCAAGCCCAACAGCCCCTCCAGAACTCTTCCCATGGCGTCCAGGCGACCCTGAAAATGGGTTCCTTGCGCCTCGACGATGCCCAACAGCTCCCTCTTCTCCGACTCCAGCTTGGCATTTCGAGTCCGCAAGTCGGTTATCATGGCCATTGTCGGCTTGTCGGCTTCGACAATGACTTCCTCAATCTGGCCGTCGAGCCTGCTCTTCAGGCGGCTTGTGAGGGTGATGATTTCGCGCGTCAGGGTGGTTGTCAGGGTGTCGAAATCAAGTTTGCTGGGGAGGTTGTCGACCTTGTTCGCCAGGCTGTCGACCTTGTTCGCCAGGGCAGCCAGCTCTTGTCCAAGCTTTGCCATGCGATTGCACGTCGTGTTGATCGTGTGCTCCATGCTCGCAGGTTGGGAAATGCCCGCCGCTGGATTGGGGTGATCGAGGTTCGATGCACGCGCAAGAGGGTTCGGCCCGGGAGGGGTGCTTGCGCCGGGGTTCGGAGCCGAAACAACAGGACCACTGTGCTGCGGAGATGAACTTGATGCGCTGCCGGCGTGGCTTGGAATGACCTCGGAGGCTTGAGTGGGCGCATTCGCGTTGGCAGGGAGGCGTTTCTTCCAGTTCAGGGGCCGGTTAACGCGCGGAGGCTCGCCGACTTCTGCCAGTGTCGTCCTCTCTGGCTCTTGACCCTCTCGACGAGCCCGTTTGACAGTGTGGGTGGTCGTAATCCCACCCTCAGCGCTGTCCTCTGACCCCGCCTGCTTCTCTGCCGACACCACGGATCTGTTTCTCTTTGCAGATCGATGATCTTCCATGTCAAGATCAGCCTCTGACTTGACTGAAGTGTTGACATTCTGGGTAGTCGGCTTTGAACCCGCGTGGATGTTCACTCTCGAGGAATCGAAGGTAGTCGGGGTCGACATATTCGCGGGGATCGGCTTTTGAGGCAGGGCAACTCTGAAGCTGTCGTTCAAGTTCAATAAGCCGAGGTGCCGTATTCCCACGGCCCACGTAGGCCTGATGGCAGTGATGTGGGCGTCTACCCACTCCTGGTCCGCCCATCTCGAGCCGACCCAAAATGAACCGGGACACGGGACCGCACCCTCGGTAAAGAGGAAATCGAGAGCGAGCAGGTCGATCATGGCCCTCTGCTCCACTCTTTCCTCACAATCACACCCCATAAGTAGGACCATGACAACCAATAGGTTATTGTGGTCGCCGAACTTGGGGAACTTTCCACACTTGGCCCAATTCGTGCCTCTGGCTTTCCATGTAAGGATCTCATGCGCGATGCTGCCAAAAGCATAGAGGCTGGGATGGTTGGAGTCGGAGGTGGTCGAGAAGTTGGACTGCGACAGTTCTGCATGAACCTTGTTGAGATCGAAATGTGACGGAAACCGGTACCTATCTGCGTCCCGCAAGGACTTGGACTTCTTGTTCCTGTAGAAATGTATCTTCATATACGCCGTCGACCAAGCCCAAGTGTTCAATTTGTCCTTGTAATCCATGTTTCCGAGGCGGGGTCGAAACCGCTTCACTGTGAGGCGAAGATTAGCTGCGGTGATTGGCGGTCCAATCTGATGAGGCGGCGACTGTAGTTGACGATTGCATGAAGTAGATGATGTGGTGATGGACTCGGAAATGCAAACAGGTGGCTTGAGTTGGTCTCCGGGCTTTGGAGAACCAGAGACGTGCAGAAGACGAAGAGGGTTTTGGCAGAATTTGGGGACCGATAAGAAAAAGGTTGGTGTCAGAGGGAAGTTTGATTGACGGGAGTGGAGGAAGGGATCAAGTGGTGGCAAGGAAAAGTTGGGCCCGAGGTTGCGGAATGGTTCGTCCTTCCTCCCTTAGTGACTCTGTCATAACTTGGGATGGAACCCAATGCCCCCTAGCCGACCATGGGGATGAGACTTGTTCGACTGGCAAGCCCGTAGACCCGCTCCTACTGTCAGAAAAAGACACCGACTCGTTTGCCCTCGCACCCTCTTTCCACACCCCACGTGCAATTTTTGTGACCACCTCAACCACCTGCCACAACCCAGAGGTCCCTCTTACCTCTCAACAACGCCGGACAATCGCAGTTTTGGAAGGGCCGACAGACTGCCTTCAGTGTGTCACGTTGAAAGCAAGAGCTACCCCAGGCGCCTCGGACAGATCGCAACCTCCCGATCGTTTGACTCGACGTGAGAATCCCACCCAACAACACCATGTCGTTCGCATCTAACTCCAGACCCCAACAGAAAGCAGCCGCAAACATGAACAGTGCCGAACCTAATATGGAGATGGTTCGGGTCATGACGTGCGCGGCCAGGATGCTGCACCAAGCCGGGGTCCTCTCGGCCGAGCAGGCAGCCATCTCGGTCGAACAAGAGACCATCGCAGCCAGGCAAGAGGCCAT